TGTTTGCTTTGATTATAGTGTATAATTAATAATTCATTTTTAAAGAATTTAGAATAATAGAAAAAAAAAACAAGTTCGCAAAGATAAATGTGTCACTTCACTTTGCTAATAGATTTGAGTCGAATCAAGTTGTTTTTATCATTTCGTGTTCTGATTATTTTGATAAAGAACATTGAAAACAAGTTTCTCATATCATAATACCTTCTTAGCTTTTATGTACATAAACAATATAAGAATAGTTCTCCATAAAATAAATTAACACAACTATTAAACTCGTCTCAACAGAATAAAGGCAGCAAAATCAACCCTTCTCTTTTATACAGTTCCACAAGACAGCAAAATATTAGTTTTTATAAAGAGAAAGCTTAAACTTGAAGTTGTTTATAAACAAAAAAAAATACTCATTAACATATAATTTAATGTCTCATTGCACTTCAAAGGTGCTGACATGCAAAATAATATTGGCTTTTGAAAAATTTGAATAATGCGATCTCATTAGAAGACTACTTCGAGAAGACAAACGCTCATCTGATGCTAATCTAGGAGAAATATAAGTGATTTTATGGCATGCTTATTAAGAGATTGTAAGCGTGAATTGAAACGAAGAGATGAATAAGTTGCAAAGTATCAAAGAAGCAACAACAACCAAGAAAGGTAAACACATTGTTCATGTAAATGATCAATTGTAAACTGACATATTGAAAACCATGTGTTTCACGAAAGAGAGTATCAAGACGCGAACCTTAGTGAAAACGTGAGACATAAATACCGACGCCTGCCCACGAGCACCCGATAGTACCTCATTCAATAAATGACTAAATAAATAAATGAGACCTTGATCTGATATTTGATTTGCACTAAGAATTCATTTTGTTTAATGTTGAATTATTAAATGAAAATGATTGATTGAAATACATAATATTGTTAATGTTTTATTTATATTTAAAGGAGAAAATAATTTTATAAATAAATTTGCTATTAAACAATTATTCCATAAAATAATTGGTTAATATTATTTATTAATATCAATATCAATATCATTATCCTCAAGTTTTTCACCAATTGAATCGGTTAATGAATTTGTTTGACATCTTTCAATTAATTCTTCAAGTTTAGGATTTTTATAATTATTATTATTATCACAGAAGTCTAAGACAATTTATCTTAAAGAATATTATCGACTTCTTGAACAAATTTTAATCACTCCAAGAAAAGAAACATATTGAAAAGATTCGACAATAAAAGCAAACCTATTACCATGATAGTTATGACCGATTTTTCTAATTTTATTTACGTAAATCTTCTGTAAAATTCTCTTTTTGAAATATCCTTCACTTTTATTCAATGATCTTAGAGGAATTATTTATGTTTGGTATATACTTTGCCTTAATTTCATATTTTTCTGAATTATATATTGAAGTTTTATGTTTTAAACTCTTGAAATATTTCTAAATATTGATTTAATCCTTAAAACTTATGCTGGTAGTATTTTAACATCACATAGACAGCTCGAGGAAACCTTCTCTTGATATAGACTGATAGTAAAACCAATGTTCTATATAAATAATATGATAGGAAAAAAATTTTTATAAGAGCTATTAGAAGAGCAAGAAAAAAATACACATCGTAAAAAGTACGTTTCTTCAAGCGTTTCATACAGTATTAAAATGGTAGCACAACAATTTTATATTTTCTGAAGCAGTTTAGATTTACTTTAGATGTTAAAATCTGCTTCTCCGAATATATTCGATAGTTTTGGACAACTCGAAAATTAACATATTCAAAGCAAAAATCGTTTTTATCTTGATCGAATTTCGATCCTCTCGGAAACAGCTTTGTTAAACAGATAAAGAAGATATCAATATAAAGTCACCTCCCCCATATTCGCCAGATCTGACACTATGTAATCTTTGGCTAAGTAATTCTATCGAACGTAGTTTAACTGATTAAATAAATGAAATATCATCTGCTCATGCGGTTTCCAAGGTAGCTAAAGATTTTTCAGAAAAATGCTTCAAAAAAAACTTTTAACAAATTCTACGAAAGGATCGAACTTAGTACAAATAATCATGGCAACAATCTTGAACATTTGATAAAATTAAATTAAAAATATCTCTTTATCTTTATATTTTTATTTAATGTTATCAGAACTTTTGAACAATCCTAAGTAAATGAGAAACTATAATATCATTATAATAATGGATCATCTGGAGATTGGCTTTGCGAAGTGTCTTTTTCACAGTGGTACTTTAACAAAGATCGATAACATTCATTTGAATCAACATTATCTGTTTCTTGAAAAACACTTGTTGGTGTATGATAATGAAGCAGAGGTACAAATTTTTCATCGTTCTTCTTATTTTCATAATCAGTTGATTCGAAATAATCAATATGAGTTTTTCTACTATCATCTGTACGTCGACGTTTAAGTTCTAATTGATGAACTAATGATGATAATGATTGAAGACTGTTGTTTGTTAAGCAATTATGAATATCTGATGGTGATAATTTAAAATGTTGACCACGTGATCCAATTATAAACAATTCCACATTAGTATGTGCATAATTATGATTAATATGCATTTCACCAGAAAACAATTCGTGCTCCAATGCATTTCCACCATCATATTCATCGAGACATGAATATGTTCTAAAAAATGGTACTTGTGGT